GAAATTGCATATCTTTGAGGACTAAGCTCTGATGTTTTTATCTTGCCCAAATTCCTGTCTAAGGGATCTGGGGAGTCATCCCCCACAAAACATAAATTCTCATCAGATGGGTTTTACTTAAGCCTATACATCATGACTTATTTTCAAAATGGCCTCTGGCATAACATTACAAGGCAAGGAAGAAAATCAAACTCTTTTACCCCAAAACATGTTTATTTGCCGTATCTTGAAACGGCCCTGCAAGCCATCCTTTCTGGGAGAAAATTTGCATCTGTACAGAATCTCTATTAACGTAGCTAGATCTTTTTCTTCCAGGTCCTTCCAATCCTAAAAAGATTACCTAAGAATCTAGCACCTTTTATAGACCCGAATAGGAAACATTTGTCAACTATTGTCTCTAAGGGCAGCCACCATAAGACTTCAAAGGAGCCTTGGTCTCCAGTCTTTTATCTTAACCTGAACATTTCCTTTCTATCAATCCCAGGTCTTTAGACAAACTCAACCAATTGTCAACCAGAAAATGTTTAAATTTACCTATAGCCTGGAAGCACCCGCCCCCACAACATCAAGTAGTCCCGCCTTTCTGAAACAAATCAATGTATTCCTTAAATGTATTTGATTGATGTCTCATGCCTCCCTAAAAGGTATAAAACCAAGCTGCACCCCGACCACCCTGGACACACATTCTCAGGACCTCCTGAGGTCTGTGTCAGGGGCCATGGTCACTCATATATGGTTCAGAATAAATCTCTTAAAATATTGTACAGAGCTTGACTGTTTTCATCAACATTTTGTAACCTCTGGAATAATGGCTGGCAATTGTTTATGTGTACACCTTAACAGAATTCAGACTCCTTTCATCCTCCTAGCCTGGTGGCCTCTTATTAGCTTTACAAAGGCAGCTTAGTTTTGGGGAAGGGCTATTGCCATTTAAACTATAAACTAAATGTCCCCCAAATTTAGCCTGGCCCAGACCCAGGAATGATTAAAGACAGTTTGAAGGCTAAAGGCAAGAAGGGGATTCATTTAATCAGATGTCTTTCACTGCCATAATTTTCTCACTGTTAAACGTTTTGCAAAGACAGTCTCACCACCTTCAGAAGGAGTTGTGTGGACGGAGAGTGTGGTGGTAGACATGCTTCCTCTTGGTCAGGTAAACGGTCACCAGCACACATCTAAAAACAGCCCATTGTCTCAAAAGAGGTTGGTCTATGCCCCGCGACAGCAGGGGGCAGATGACAGTAGCAGGAGCAGCTTCTCTTCACAGCAGAAGACACCAGGCTTCCCTTCTGAGAATTCCTATTGTCTATGGCCTTCTTAAAAAGATGGTGCTCATTGGCCCATGCTTCACAGACCTGAGCCTTGAGAGATGGTGTAGACTTCATCCTTCTGGAGGCCCAATGCCACTTCCAAATCTATACCAGTCTTTGCTCCTGCTCCTTGGAAGGTCATGCCCCATCTTGGCCGACATTCACTTACTCTCTCTATTGCTGTCACTCACCCATGCCCTGGTCAGGGTCTCTCATTCATACACTTGGAAATCGACTTCATTGTCTTCATTGACACCTCTAATCCTGTTGACATTTTTTTCTGATTTCATTTGGGCTGCAAGTTCAGCCTCTGGACTTTGCTGCTCTTTGACTGACTTCCCCAGCTTTGATGACTTTTCACTAGCTCTTCACTGCAGCCCTCTACTCAGGTGGCTGCTACATTCACCTTGCCATCACTTAGAACTCTTCCACCTCTGAAAACTTAACTCTCCACATCTTACTCTCTGGCCACACATATCTCCCTTTCCTCTCATCCCAGTTCTTTGACCTCATCCAAATATCTCTGATTGCTCTAATTTATTCCATCCTATCACTGTATCCTAACTTTACATCCTTATAGCCTAGACTTCATTATCTATTGCTTTATCTGCTCATTTGCCAAACTCCTCAGTTCCTTGGATCTGTTGTCCTTCTGTTACATGTGCCCCATAAAACCCTAACTCCAGATCAGCTGTTTGATTTCTGTGTTTTCTTATATTGCAAACATCTCTGACTGGTGAAACTGAGATTGGAGTCAAAGTTGCTCCGTAATTCTTTTATATTTGTCTTTTTTGTTCCCGACAGAGTTTATTTCAAACATCATTTCGTCTCAAATCTTCTACCCCTGCATGCTTTCTCATGTGTTTACCAGGGAACTAAATTTCTATTTACAAATGAAGTCCATTCTATGGAAACCATGTCCATTGTAATCCCAGCACTTTGGGAGGCTGAGGCAGGCGGATCACCTGAGATCAGGAGTTTGAGACCAGCCTGACCAACATGATGAAACCCCGTTTCTACTAAAAAAAATATAAAATAGTTGGGCATGGTGGCGCATGCCTATAATCCCTGCTACTCAGGAGGCTGAGTCAGGAGAATTGCTTGAACCTGGTAGGCAGAGGTCTCTGTAAGCTGAGATCGCACCACTGCACTCCAGCCTGGGTGACAGAGAAAGACTGTGTCAAAAAAAACAAAAACAAAAAAAAACCCCAAAAAACAAGAAAGAAACCACCTTCACTGTCTGCTCCCTAAAACTTAGCTACACAGGCATTCATTCTTGCTTCCTGATTAAATAGAAGACAAGAATTTTAGGACTCACTCTGAATTCTTTCTTATGTGAGGTCCAAGAATCATCTCTCTTGGGGTCTGGATTGGGGCCCCTTTCCTGTAACATATTCACTGAAAGAGTTTTTCACTCACATTGTGTTCACTTAATGAATCACCTCCCACTTGCTCCTTATTCCATGGCCTGCTGGCTGCTGTATCCATCCTTGCACCTAACCACCTCTTGAACCTTGTCTACCTGTCATGAAATCCAATGCAAGCTTTCTTCTTTATCTTATATCCTCTTTATAACAACTGACATTGTAGACCACTCCCAGCTAGTCAACACTTAAACTTAGCTTCCATTACACTGCACTCTTTTGGTTTTCTTCCTACTCCTTTGCCTGTTGTTTGTTGATCTAACCTTCATCTCTGTTTCTTTAACTTTAGAGGTTCTTGAGATTCTCTCTTGGGCACTCTTCTCTTCTTACTTTTTGTATCCTTACTGAGAAGTCTCAATACTTACCATGGCTTCAAGTTGTTGAAGAGCTATGGAAACAACTTGGATGAATTTGAATTCCAGACAAGGGATGCCATTCAGAGGTGAATAATCCTCCCCAGTAGTTTCATCACTGGGAACATTTTCAGACTCTGGGCCTGAACTGAAGGTTATATTGAGTAACTAACTCAGAAGCACGCTACTAAAGGAAAGTGAAACTAACAAGGCTTTCAATGATTGTGAAAGACTGAAATGACATGTCAGAATCTTAAGGAGACCCAAAAGTGTGGCCTGTTTTTCTCATAGAACATTTATTGAACTTTGGGATGGCATGTGTGTGCTGAATTAAAGATGGTCATAAATTCTTTCACATTTCTTCTTTTGAGAGTTGAGATTTATGTCCCTCATCCTTGAATCTAGGCAGGCTCAGTGACTGCTTTGACAAATAAAATACTACAGAAGTGATGCTGAAACAAATTCTAAGCCCAGGCTTTAAAAGATTGGCAGCTTCCATTTCCTGCCTCTTAGAACCCAAACGTCATGCTGTGAGAATATCCAAACAGCTACATGGACCTGCCCATGTGGAGAGGAATCTTAGCTAGTAGCCTCAGCTAAACTCCCAGCCAACAGCCAGTACCAACTTGCCAGACATGTGAGTAAGCCATCATAGAACTGGATTCTTCCAAACCCAGTTGAACCACTCCAGCCAATGCTCCATGGCAAAGAAGTGAGGCATCCCCATCAAAACTTTCCCAAATTGCAGATTCATGATCAAAATAAATGGCTATTATTGCTTTAAGCAACTGAGTTTCAGGGTAGTTTGTTAGGCATCACTAGATAACTAAAAAGCATAGAAGGCTTTAAAAACATCAAATGCTTCTCAAAGGCTCAGTAAAATCTTCCATAATCTTAGGAGGCTTAGGAGAAACAGTTCTAGCAGAGGAAGTTAGCCTGATTCAAACACCCAACTTGCCTCCTCTTCAAGAAATTTACTAATGAACTAGATTTCAGAACTGGTGGGGAGAGTTGAAGAGGTGAGTTATTGCAGGGGGATGCAAGAGGCAAAAGAGTTAAATCCAAAACTTCTGAAGTACAGAATTGAATTCCCTGCAGTGTCCCAAGGATGAGGAAAGAGAAATCCATCTGGTACTTGAGAAAAATGCCCAGAAGGGCCACTCACCCTATCCCCCAAAATAAGGGTTGTATAAAGGACGAAGTTTGTCATACTAAGACTTCTAACTAGTCTTGTTTTGGCTCAATCTATGAATAGGTTGAAGTGATTAGACGATTGCCTTATCTACCTAGCAGGAAAGCAAGAGAAAATAGTTACTGGTGAAAAATATCATCCGGAGCTTTTATGACTTTTTTTTGGACACTGTCTAGCATATTATCAAAACTTACCATACTACTGAAAATGCAAGAATATGCAATCTATATTCAGGCAAAAATATAAAGCAATAGAAACAGACCCACAGAAAATAAGACATGGGCATAGAGACAAGAGCTTCAAAGTAATTTGGGTTAATATGTTAAAAAGAACATAGGAAAGATGTGCAAAAATGAGTAAAAATAAAGTATTTCAACAGAGGACTGTAATCTATAAAAGAGAATCAAATGAATGGTCTAGAGATATTAAACACAGTGTTCAAAATTAACATATCATTTTATGGGCTTAAAATAAGACCAGAAACATCAAAAGACAAAATTAATGAACTCCAAGATAGATCACTAAGAAGTAAAGTTAAGCACAGAGAAAAAGGAAAAAGAATGAAGAAAACAGATGAAGTATAAAATAAAATGAAAGACAGACAAAGATCTAACATGTCTGAATGGAATTCCAGAAGGAGATAGAGAACAGGTTCAAAAAATAATTGAAGAGATAATTGCTGAGGTTGTCTAGGATGATTAAAGGCACAAACCAACAAAGTCACGAAACTCAGTGGGCCCTTGATAGAAAAAAGAAAAAAGAAACCATCCCTAGGCACATCACACTAAAACTTTTAAATACAAAAAACAAAACAAAACAAAAAAAACAACCAGAAAAAAAAACATCTTTAGAGATGAGCCTGAGAAAGAAGAAATATTATCTTCAAAGTAGGAACTTAAAATAAGACTGATGGTTGACTTCAACAGAAACTGTAAAAGCCAGAAGACAATAGAATGGCACCTTGAAAGTGCTGAAAGTAAACAAAACAAACAAACAAACAAAAAACCCAGTTAAAATTACGTGAGAAAATGGCATAAAATAAAGATCAAAATTGAAGCAAAGACAAAGGCATATTCAGGCAACCAAAGGTTGAGAACCTTTTTCTCCAGACAGCTAAAAGTACAAAGAACATTTTCAAAAGATCTTTGAGCTGAAGGAAAATAATTTAAGATGGAAGCACAGAATTGGAAGAAGAATGAAAAACACTAGAAACCGAATATGAGAGTAAATATCAAATAATATTGATGGTTTATAAGAAAATTAAGAATATCTTGTTGGTTAATGACAAGCAAAGTAAATGGAAATGAATTGTACAATTTTTGCATTATTTGAGATGTAATACAATGATTAATTTTCAATATTTAGTTAAGGCTGCAGATTATATAATACTACTACACTAAATAATTAAAAAGAAAGGAGAAAACTTTAAAAATTTATTTGGTTAATCTAAAAGAATGAACAAAAGAAGGAATAAAAGAATTCAAACAGAGGGTACAAATTGTGGAGAAATACAATTGATTCATCCCCAGAAAATTCACACTTAAGCCATTAAATCAAGCCCTTTGATTAAACCATTGAATACCTGTCAGATGAACTTGGTGGCCTACTTAGTTGTACCCACAGAGTGAAAACTGATAGATGCCCATTTGAATTTACTGGGCAAGGACCAGGAAATATGAACTGCACTAACTTCAGCTGCACCCCAATAAGCTGCATGCACAGCACCCTACCCTGCCTAGTTGGATCTCCCAAGACTGCCTGAAATAGACCTCCTCTAGCATCTTTTAAAAATCCTACTGTGAGGGTCTTGTTCTAGAAGTATTTGTCCCCCAGACTGTATGCTCTCTCTCTCTTTCCC